CTTACCTCAAAGACAAACTTTCTGTGCTAGCAGCCTTGACCGAGCAAGGAGAGAAGAAAGGTGTGCAGGGGAGCAGAACTGCAGTCACGTGGAAATCTCTCCTGGTGGCACCTTTCATCCACATGGAGCCAGTTCCTCAGCTGGGGTCGGTCGCCCGAAGCTGCGTTGACTCCCAAGGAGCTGCGTCAGCTTACGCCAGCCGAGAATCTGGCCCAAGAGGGAGCTCAGAAGCAGGTTTTCATCAATATTCTCCCATCCAAGGTCTGGTTGGCAGGAGCAGGCCTGCCAGGGAAGCCACGTTGATGGAAAGCAACAACAAGAGGGTCCGGTCACAGACACTGCAAAGGAAATTCCTGACATGGGGTGTCCATGCACTGAATGCAGGAGTTATTCTTCTAGCACTAGGCACAAGCTACCGTTCAGCCTGAGTCGTCCCCTCCTCACCCCGCCGTGCGTAACTCCATCCCATTACTCCCAGTTACACAGGCTTGGACTCAGGCCAAGCCGACACTGAAACATTTTTCCGGCAGCGCTATGTCAGTTTGGGGCGTGAAAATAACACCTGAGCATTTTCCATCAGTCGATCTCAAAGCACTTTTGCAGGCAGAGAAATGGAGGCAAAATGATTCGCCTGAGGTCGCTGGCAGAGCTTGGAACAGACCCCAGGTCTCCTGCATCCTAGGCTTGGGCACTAGCCACTAGGCCACACACCCTCCAATAGTTGAGAAAAAAAGTGGGAATGTGACTCTCTTAGGCACCGTTGGGCCTGCTGCAGGGAGAGGGGAGCATGATCTTAGACTACATGTATGGAGGGGTCTGTTCCCAGAAGAGCCTGAACATTCACCCAACCCCTAACCCAGCATTCAGGGTGCTCAGGCCTGGCATATGCAACATTACCAGCTTTGCCAGTGCCTGCAGCCCTTGTCTGCCTGAGCACAGCGGAAGGTGGGCACACGCAGGAGAGAGAGTGTGTGTGTTACAGGAGCAAGACCTGCCTCTCAGAATCAGCACATGGCAAGCCACTCTGGTACCAGGGAGAGTGATGAGCTAGCCAGCCATGTGGCTGGCCTATCAGGGCAAGTCTAAGGTACACGGTAAGCAGCTTCAGCTCTGGGTCAGGTTTGCAACCAAGCCCCTTTCTGACCACACACAAATCAGTCTGACTCGGGTCAGCCAGCTTGCAGGTCCCGGGACCTAGGACCCTACTGGGGAGGTGGTTCAGAGCCGGGGTCCTGCTGTGACTCAGCTCCAAGCCCCGTCATTTCTCAGTGTGGACACAGCTCAAGCCCTGGGCCTGAGTCAGAAGGTCTGCATAGTGCAGTCCAGACACATTAGCACGGCTGCGAGACCTGAGTCCAGCAACTGTGAGCCCAGATTTACAATGCAGTGTGGCTGCTCAAGCGGGGGCTTGGAAACACCAGGTCCCCAAGCCTGGGTCCCACAGACCCAGGCTTAGTGTGTAGTGTAGACACATGCTCAGAAGGCTATTAGGAGTCTGCACAGCAGAGCCAAGGCCTGCCCCTGGCCCCACTGGAGTCAGTGAGAGTTTGAGATGAGACCTTCCACCACCACATGGGGAGGCAATGCTGCCAGAAACATCCTCCCCCCTCAGGCCTGGTCCCCTGGCCCCGTCACTCCCCCTGATACTGCCTTATGGAGATGTGTCCTTGGAGCCCGCAATCTCCAACAGCTGCTCTCACCGTTCCATGCCGTTGGTCTCACTTTTGGAGAGAGGATGTTAGACAGGTGTCGGGTTGCGGGGGAGAACATGCAGATCTTGCTGTCCAATGGCCTGTCTGGGGAAGTTGCTGAGCAAGCATTTGCAGCTGGAGGCTGGCTCTCTGCAGGGAGGTCTTTCATAGCTTCATAGAGTCCAAGGCCAGAAGGGACCATGGTGATCTTCCAGTCGGACTCCTGAACAACACAGGCCAGAGAACTTTTCCAAAATAATTCCTAGAGCAGCCCTGCTAAAGAAACAGCCCATCTTGATTTAAAAATGATCAGTGATGGAGAATGCCCCACAGCCCTTGGTAAGTTATTCCCGTGGTTAATTGCTCTCACCATTCAAAATTTACACTTTCCTTCCAGTCTGAATTTGTCTAGCTTCAGCTTCAGGCCATTGCATCGTGTTAGATCTTTCTCTGCTAGCTTGAAGAGCCCATTATTAAATATTTGCTCCCCACGCAGGTACATATAGACCATGATGATCAGGTCACCCCTTAACCCTCTCTTTGCCAAGCTAAATAGAGTGAGCGCTGTCTTGAGTCCTCTCACAGCCATGCAGCAGCCACGTCACTCTGTGCCTGGATGCTCCAGCCATTCCTCACTCTTCCCTTGGACCCTTAAGGAGAGGATTCCTACTCACCATGCCCCCCACCAGCTGGTCCTGCCTCATCCTCTGTGCACTCAGAGGGCTGCACCTTCCGGGGACCACTGTGATTCCACAGGACAGGAGGGGCAAGGATTAGGGAATGCACATCGCTGAAGTGGTAACAGGAGTGCACCATGTCTGTATCGATTGTCATGCTCACTGATAGAATCAGAGACATCTACTGGGACACTGTAAGGACCAACTCCAGTATACACAAGCAGGTCTGAATTTCTTGCTAACCATTCCCCATAATAACATACGAGACAACCCCTTAATACTAAGATAAAGATATATCACCATCTACTTGTGGGGGCACTGCCTACATTAAACATTATAATATATAAATAGTTAGCTCAGTGGTTTTTAACCTGTGGTCTGCAGACACCTGGGGGTCCACAGACTATGTGTAAGATTTCCAAAGGGGTCCGCACCTCCATTTGAAATTTTTTAGGGGTCCACAAATGAAAAACGGTCGAAAACCACTGAGTTAGCTAATAGCCACTAGATGGCGCTTAGGAACATGTACCATAGTCCCTGGGCTTTTGTAGGACAGATAAAACTTCTTGTGTCCTGAAGTCTGCTATTAACTCTTCACATCAGCTCGTGATGTCAGAAGCAAAAGGTGTGTTAATTCATTAATTCTGCACAGCAGCTGGCCAGAGGCACCAAGTCATTTCTGCAACGGCATCCACTTCCCACTGCTATGGAAATGCACAGGGATACGTCTGTGAAATAAATCTGAGAGATGGCTCCCTGCCCGGAACCAATTCTCCGGAGCACTCTGCATGTCAGGGGGGTTGGGTCATGGGACAAAACCCTCAGAGCAGCATCCCCAGCCACAAAATTTTGTAAAAGCAAAAATAAATCCCACCCTGAAAAGGACGGGAGCGAGAAAACCACTAACACTCTGCCCCCTCCTTGCAGAATTTGAGAGCTATGTATTAATAATGCACAATTAACAGAAACTGCTTCATCTAATCATTCATCAGGAGATATGTTTGAGTGCCTTGGCGAGAGTGGTATTAATGGCTCGTGGCACTGCAATTTATAATGGGCTGGGTAACAGGTATTTAATACTTGAAAGCTGGGCTTCTCTGCCACGCAGAATTTATTTAAGACAACGATTTCTATTCTTCAGTCGTTGTGTGATCATTCTTTTTTTTTTCTACCTGTGTTTCTTGCATTTAAAAGGTCACTGGGAGGCAACAAACAGGACTGCATGGTGCAGGATTCAGTGCTAAGAACTGCGTTGTCGCCACTCGCCAGGTTAAAATCATGAATCACCCATGCCAAGGTGCTGAGGGCAACATTTAACTCAGGATATCTTCATTAATTTATTTATTTTATGCCTATCTCCTAGAACTGGAAGGGACCTTGAAACATCACCAAGTTCAGCCCCCTGCCTTCACTAGCAGGACCAAGTACTGATTTTGCCCTAGATCCCTAAGTGGCCCCCTCAAGGGTTGAGCTCACAACACTGGGTTTAGCAGGCCAATGCTCAAACCACTGAGCTATCCCTCCCCCATGGCACTCCTCCTGCAGACTTAACACTGTGGGCTTTACGACACAACCAGGAATTTAGTGAAAGTTGTACCTCTAGTCAGGAAAGAATCAGGACCAGAGGATGTGAGTTCAATCCTTGAGGGGGCCATTTAAGGATCTGGGGCAAAAAATATGTCTGGGGATTGGTCCTGCTTTGAGCAGGGGGTTGGACTAGATGACCTCCTGAGGTCCCTTCTAACCCTGATATTCTATGATTCTATGATGCTGGTTACTCAGTATCTTGGATGTTTGAAAGTAGTCTGGGCCCTACAGTACAGTGCCCTAGTGGGTTGACCACTGGAGTGGGACTCAAGAGACTTGAGTTCTACTTCGTGGGCCAGTCACGTCACTGCCACATGCCTCAGTTTCCCCATCTGTAAAACGGGGCTAATGATCCTGCTGTGCTTTGAGAGCTACTAATGTAAAGCGCTATGTAAAAGCTAGGTACTGGCATTGTGTGCAACATCACCACATTCATATTGTGTTGCCTATGATTTTTAACCTGAGCAATTTAATCCTGCAGTAATTGGAGCTGGTCTGACTCGGGCTAGTCTATATGGGAATTTATACTGCTATAAGCTAAGGTGTGAATTTTAACCAATATAGCACTGCCTGTAGAAGCCTGCATGTGTGAAGGGTTAAAATCCATGTGCATTTTATATAACTACCTGGTATATGGATTGTGCCAGCTCTTTTCCAGACCCAAAGTCCAGAGTATAGTCAAGGGACCAGAGGCCTAGCAAATAGTGATCAGCTAAGAGAAAGCTAGGGTAAACAGATAATCTTGTTTTGCTAAAATAAGATTAGTCAGCCAATTTCCAGGTGTTGGAGCTGAGAACTAAATAATTGTGTCTTATTCAGAGTTGCAGATTGAACAAAGAAGTCCAGTTTCAGTTGTTAGTTTCTTCTGTGGGGAGACGTTCTTCCCACAGATTCAACCTTCAATTTATGAAAAGTTGGCACATGTCAGTATAAGATATGGCCTCCTCCCACTTCCCTTTCCGAGGGACCAATGCCTGCCTTAAAACATAAAGGAGACAATCTTTATTGCCATATACTTTCACTGTTTCTTTGTTTTAACCCCTAGGAATGTATCTGCTGGACAATCAGAGGAGCTACCCCATTCCTATGGACCCCAAATCAGAATTCAACATATTTATTTTATACTAATAACATTTTATCAAAGTATTAATTAAATGTTAACTTGCTAACTTGAGACCATGGGCGGAGACATTATGTAACCTGTTAACCATTGGCTAATGTGCTATCTTGTCTTGCTGCAAAACCTATCCCGGGGTGTGGAACTGCCTACCCCGTCACTTCCCCCCGCCCATGGAAAATCCATATATTCTATTGTAATCAATTGATGGATGGTGTCTCTGAGCCTAATAAGCAAGGTGACACTCCGCCAGCGCTGTGTGTAATAAACTCCTATGCTTGACCTCTACACGGTGTGGATTTATGTCCTTCAGTGTGGACACTCTTATTCCAGTATAAGAGGGCCTTCTTTTCAGTTTAGTTTATGTCACTATGGAAGGGGTTTTAGTTAACCCAGAAAAAGCCACTCTTATTCCAGAAAAAAAGCGGAGACTTACACTGGAAGAACTATCTCGGTTCAACAATACCATTATAATTACACTGGCATAATTGGTAGCACTTTCCCCTGTAGACGAGCCCTCAATCTTTACCCTTCCCCCCAGTTTTATTTTTGGTGAGTGACTTGTTTGTGCCCAATCCCGATTATCCCCTGGTCTATTTGCAAGTATTTGTCAACAAATCCATTTTCATTCAGTGAGGCGTTAGCCGTCTGTTCTCTTTGCCTGTTCGCCTGTTCATTCGTCGTGGTGTGTAATTGATCGCCTGAGTCACATGGTATTACTTCGGCTCTGAGATTGGAAGGCTGGAACTTTTAAACCAGGAAATGAATAGCAAGTAATGATAATTTTATTTAAAAACTGAGGAATGAACCAGCCTCCCTTAGCAACCACGAAGCTGCACTCTCTAAGGACCCAGGTCTTCTTGGCATTCATCCTCCTTTCACCCATCTTCCTCCTTTGAATTTCTCCTGCCCATATGTTGCACCATAAAATAGTTTAGTGGCTAGGAGGCTCTCCAGGGAGTCAGGAGACCTAAATTCAAGCCCCTGCCCTGCCACCGACTCCTCCCTGTGTAAACATGGACACGTTCCTGAGCATTTCCGTCCTCATATGTAAAATGGGGATAACATCCCTGGCAGAGCTGTGGTGAGGGTAAATCTATTACCAGTTGTTCAGATATGCTATGGCAGTGGGGCCAGGCGAGTACCTAAAACAGGGAAATTTAAACAGTAAGATCTTGAATAAAGGGACTGTGGGTTCTGTCTTGGTTCTGAAAAAGGCCCTAGAGAATTAGCGTCAAGGACAGGACCAGGATACCGGAGTCACCTGGGCTTAGGCCATTGAATCAGGATGCTTCCTTATTTATAAGAGAGACAAGGTGCATGAGGTGGTATCTTCTATTGGACCAACTACTGTTGGTGAGAGGGACAAACTTTGGAGCACCACACAGCTCTTCTTCAGGTCTCGTCATGTTTGAAGTGATCCCTTCTGGAGAGTGTGCAATTCAGGGGCTGGTTCCTCTGTTTTTCTGAAGTCCTTTGAGAGAGCCTATTTGGAGTTGCCTGCAGTCAAAGGGTTATAGGAGATGAGTCCTTTGGTTTCTGACATTTGCTCATGAAGTCCCTGCTTGGCTTCCTTCCTCGGCATGTTGTGGAGTTTCCATTTCAGACAGCAACATTCAATATCTTCCAGTGTGGTTTGCAGTGTTTGTTCTAGCCGGGTTGGTCCTTATTTATATGGGCACATCTCAATGGAGCAGCCAGCTCCGCTACAGGCAGTCAGCTAGCAGGTAGTTTGCAACAGTCCAGCCAAAGCTCCATCAGATTGGTCTGGGCTCCCCACAAGGTTTTTTTCACAGTCCCCAAGGTTAACCTGAGATGGCTGTCGGGTGCCGGGGGAAGGTTTGAGAAAAATCACATAGACAAACTTTAACCCTGGCAAGAGTGAGCATTTCCCCAACTATCTTTACAAGGAAATTGAGCAGAAATGTGCGTCAGAGATGCTCTTTGAGTCAGTGTAGCCAACTCTTGTGATTTTATCCTGAGTTTCGTGATATTTAGGGTTTTTCATAAAGCCCCAACACCTGGAATCCTGGGAGTATGTGAGAATCTCAGCTCAACTTTCATTATATTTTTTAAATAAGCTTCTAGTCCTCATAGCTGCAGAGTAAAGCTTGTCAGTGTGACTGTAGAGGATCAAAAACCAGAAAGCAAATGAAAAGAAACTAAAATGTATATATAATTATATATATTATATCATTATATTTAAGCAGCTCTCATGACTTTTGATAGATACATAGATAGATAGATAGATAGATAGATAGATAGATAGATAGATAGATAGGAGGGGATGTATGGGGATAGATAGATAGATAGATAGATCGATCATGAGTTATGTTAGACTCCATTGCTAACTGCCAGCAAAATATTTATAGCATACCAAATCATTCTTTATTCTGTTTATGTCCCATATTTTACAGGAAGAAAGTATTTTAAACTGCCTTAGGCAGTTTTAAATTATTTTTATTGGTTCCATTTTTCATATCCCTCTGCGTTGAAAAGCTAAGCTCCCTTCGTTACCACGACCATCACTGTACCGGCCTCAGAAGGCGAGAAAATGTTCTGTTAATGCATAGAAGAGACCTCTAAAAAATTATCTAAAACAGCGTTATTATCCACAATGGTATCATAATGGCACATTAGGATAGCATGCCATATTGCTGGCCTGGAAACAAGTGCTGTGTATCCCAAATGGGAGGGATACCTAGTTCCTTTCTACTGGTTCAAAGCACCTTTTTCTAGTGATTCTGGTTTGCGAGACATCCTGGATATTAAACCCACTACTGCTCAAGGAGTCAATTCTGCTCTTCCTACACTTCAGATAAAGGGAAAGTATGTGTTTTTATGGGCACATACATGTGTGTGTCATGTACATGTGTGCATGAATGTCTGTGTGTAACCCATGCCTGCTGGGTGTGGGGCTCTGTCCCCCTCCAGTGGCACTGAAACCACTTAGAGATTAATGAGTCTGCTACAGCCTTAGCTAAGAGCCATGTAGCTTTTAGCTCATGCAGTAAAGGCTCATGCATTTAGCTACAGAGGTCGCAGGTTTGATCCTGCCTGCGGATGACTGGAGTCTGTCGGTGGTATATGTGCACATGTGGGTGTGCACACGTGTGTGCTTGTGAACATGCATGCTTTAGTGTGAGTTTTGCACCGGGAGTGGGGGGAGGCAAAGTGATGGCTCTTTGAACGCGGCTCAGAAGGTTTGAAAGTTAGCATAAGTCCTGGGTACTGGACAAAGGGGCAGAGTGTGGGAGATGTGGCCGAAGGTGCACGATCAGTGCATTGTAGCCCGTGTTTGTATAGATCCACTCATCTGGGTGAAATTAGTACCTCCTTACAAGGGAACGGTGAGACAGTGCTGTCTGGCATGATGGGCAGTGGTCTCAGAACAGCCGCTGCCCAACTGTTGTCAAGTTTTTTGTAGACCTCGGGGCAAACGAGAGTTTTCAGACGGGATCTGAAGGAGGACAATGTAATTTGCATTGCGGTAGCGTCTAGGAGCCCCAGTCCTGGGCCAGGACCCCGTTGCGCTAGGTGCTGTACAAACAGTACAGGGAGACAGTCCCTGCCCAAAGAGCTTATTTCATCCAGCTCTATTTGGGGAGGGGCTCGTTCAGGGGCGGGCAAACTTTTTGGCCTGAGGGCCTCATCGGGTTTCAGAAATTGTATGGAGGGCTGGTTAGCAGAGGGGGTTGTGGCCTGGCCCCCACCTCTTATCTGCCCGCCCCCCGGACTCCTGCCCTATCCAACCCCCCCGTTCCCTGACTGCCCCCCCCTGGGACCCCTGCCCCATCCACACACCCCCACTCCCTGTCCTCTGACTGCCCCCGGACCCCTGCCGCCCCATCTAACCCCTCCTCTCATTCCTGACAGTCCCCCCGGGACCCCGCCCCATCCAACCACCCCTTCTCCCTGCCCCTGACTGCTCCCAGAACCCCTACTCCTGACTGCCCCCTGCTGCCCCATCCAACCCCCTCTCCTTCTTGACTGCCTCCCGGGACCCCTGCCCCCATTCAAACCCATTTCCCCCCTGACTACCATCCACACCCCCACCCCCTGACCACCACCCCGAACTCTCCTGCCCTCTATCCAACCCCCCCGCTCCCTGCCCCCTTACCGCGCTGCCTGGAGCACCGGTGGCTGGCGGCGCTGGAGCCGGGCCACGCTGCCGCCGCCGCCGCCACTACGTAGCCCAGAGACTGGGTCAGGCCGGGCTCTGCAGCTGCACTGCCCCAGGAGCTCACAGCCCCGCCGCCCAGAGCATTGTCCCGGCGGCAGAGTGAGCTGAGGCTACGAAGGGAGGGGAGACAGCAGGGGAGGGGCCGTGGGCCATAGTTTGCCCACCCCTGGGCTAGTTACTGGCTAAGTGAGTCTGGCTTTGGCCCATCCCTTGTAGGGTGACCAGATGGTCCGATTTTATAGGGACAGTTCCTATATTTGGGGCTTTGTCTTATATAGATGCCAATTACCCCCACACCCGCTGTCCTGATTTTTCAACCTTGCTATCTGGTCACCTAATCCTAATCCAATTAGGAACAAAGGAATTGCCAGCCGAGACCAGAGCAGGAAATTACGAGCTAGCTGGCGCCTCATTGCTTGAGGGACTAGATTCCCCTCCAAAGTTCTTGTTCCATCCATGAACATTCCCTGTTACAACTCCAGATCCCTAGTCTGGCATCCGCGGATTCCAGCAAACGCCCCACCACGTTGTGCATTTGTTTGGTCATCTGTTCCCGGCGGGGAGCTCGCGGGTGCAGTGCGATGCTGAAGTCAGTGCTCAAAGCAGAGATCTTGTTGCTGTGCGTTTCCCACCTCCTGATTGCTTGCTCTGGCAAGGGCTGACGTCCCACCCCCACGCATTTCTGTACAGTGTTTTCCTGGCTTCCTTTTCCACCCCTTCCCCCAGCCCGTGGGGGACCCGTGCAGAGCAATGTACACAATGGGGTGGAATAAAAAATCACATGCCCCCAGCATTGCAAAACTCTGCAGCCTCCAAATAGAGTCGGCCACGGTGCTGTGTCCGGAAGCCAGAGGGAACGACAATAGCGTGAGAGGGAAGGAGGATATATAGCGAT